TCTCTGCAAAGTTTGTAAGCACAGATATTTTTGTGCGTTTCCAGAAACTGGCAGAAAGTAGTGCTTCACTTTGCATCGGTCTTTATAACTTTCCGCGTCGGTCTTTATAAGTTCCCTATCTAGCTGTCACACTGGTAGAGAGACGCATAACTCGTAGCTCAGAAAGTTTGCCTCCTGGGGGACCACAAAAACACAACAGAAGAATGTGGTACGGCAAGACCGGCAACGGATACATATGATGCACAAGAGTGAACAGGTCCCACCAGCTCAAGCTTGTAAGCTTCGTTAGTGAGAAATAGGCACATCCTCAGGATAGGAGGTGTTGGCGTTTCTAAACTTGCCGAGAGGCCAAAAAAAAAAAAAAAAGACACGCGACCTTGTCTCAGGTAACGCCTGCACCAAAAAAAAAAAAAAAAAAAAAAAAAAAAAAAAAACACGAGCGCTTGCACACATTCTCAACCGCCATTGGATGCATATGAGAAAACTGGTTTGGGTGGTGCCGAGATGCCCAAACGATTACAGTTTATATAGGTTTGTGCATCTGATTGAATGCTACGGTCTTCCTCTGAAAACCACAATCCACCCTGATTATGAATGAATAAATAAAACCACCTTTGCAGTTCCATGCAATCAAAATGGATATGGCGGGGRGKTGTCCTTCCCCCMTTTTKACTGAATAGAACTGGAAAGGTGGACTCTATACACAACGCACCCTGATTATGAATGTATAAAACCACCTTTCCAGTTCTCCATGCAATCAAACTGGATATGGCGGTGCGTTGTCTTCTGCCCAGTTTAACTGAATGGGACTAGAAAGGTAGTCTGTATACATTCGTAATCGGGGTGCGCTGTTGTTTGGGAGAATATCATAGCTGTGTGTACTATATCCACAGAATGCAAGTACATTCTTTTGCAATATTCGGCGGTGTTTTTAACTTTCTAGCCTTCTCAAATCGTTTTCTCAAAAAAAAAATCTTCTTTCAAACAATATTCAAAGAACATTAGGTGGCTGTCATTTTTAACTGGCATCTTCGAATTTCTGCCACGTTTTGGAACATATATCTTTTTCACTACCCACCAACCACTACTCCGAAGGCTGAGGTTACCTCCCTCGGTGGAGAGACGTAGCCGCATGTTTGCCCCTTTGCCCTAGCGTTAGGGTACAGGGTTGGGCCCGCCGGTGGGGCCCCGGCTAACACAAGGACCGAGCATTTGCCAGCAAGTAACTATGCCTCCCTTTTTATCATCTTCCTCTACCCCCATCGAGTAAGAGTAAGAGTAGTGTCTAATAAAGCCAACACTCTCCCACACACCACACGCAACCCACGCACACACGCACTCACGCCTGTGTTGGCTGCAGACCTTACTGATACCGGCTTGCGAGGATCTGGCGGATGATCTCAGTTGAGTGCCACAGGCGCATCCAACCTCTACAGCAACCTGGGCTTCAAAGAGAGGAGGGGAAAAAAAAAAACAAAAACAATAAAGGTAACATAGTAAGGCCATTATCAGCTCGACCCGACGAGTGCTACACCAACGCAATGCAGCGAGTCAGCGACAGTGAAATCATACATAAACTCTGCCAAAAGCCTCCCCCACTGCAAGAAAATGGGAAAGCATGGCCATGGCTGAATTCCCGAAGGCTTATAGAGAAGTACAGGTGAGGCAACCGAGGCAAAGCAGGGGGCGGCGAGGTGGGTCAAAAATAGATTATCTAAGAAATAGGGGTGGCAAGGCAATCACATGTACTGTGGCCAGTTGACATTCCCCCAGGAAACCCCTAAAGCACCCATCAAAACCCTCT